AACTCAGCTTGTGGGCCACGTCGAGACACGCAGTAGGCGGCGTTCGAAAGAGCGTCAAAAACTATTATAAAATTACTTAGGTCATTGTTAAGGTTAGGTCGAACTGGTCGAAGGTCAGGTCACTAGAGACAACCAGAAATCAAATTTCCCCGATTTTGGCATTTTTCGACAAAGCGGCGCATAAGTCAGGATTCAGAAAGAGATTGAGCTACAGCGCCGCAGCAAAGCGCAATCGATACCTCTTTTCATGCTCTTTCTTATTAATTATCTCAGATTTGACCTAAGGTAGGTAAACGTTTTAGCCGTTAAAATATACGTATTTGCGTTGGACGTTTATCTGTAATACCTTTTGGTTCAGACCTGCACGAGATTAGTTTAACCGGCAACGTGTTCCATTTTTCGAGACTAGTCAAATGACTAGAATTTGACATTAAATTTGACCTAAGGTGAAGGTCATCACCTAGCCGGGAAAGGTCATACTACATATTAGTCGATCCGTATTGTCGAGAAGGAAAATAATTATATGAGGCGTTTCATTGCTCTACCATATCTCTATCAAAAGTTATTGTCCAAAACCTACTGGAGACCTTTCATGACCTGAGATGACCTCAGAAACATAAAAGTGGTCACATCACGAGTGAAATTTTCCGATGAAATTTGTCATATATACCTGTATCCCGATGTCTGAGGGTGTTTTCGTTCAGAAGGAGAGCATTTCAATTTTCTCCCAGTAAACTGCGCCGTCATGCTGGTGGGGGGGGGGGGGGGCGTTTTTACGCCCTTCCCCTTAGGTTTTTCGCGAATATCTCAAAAACAGCGTCGCCAAGCGCTATCGTTTTTGGTACACATGTTTATACATCTTTCCCACACAATTTGAGAAAATTTTAGACCCAGGTCGTTCAAGGTCAGGTCACCAGGTCACGTCAAGTGACCTTACCTCAGAAAAAGTTTAAAGACTCGCGATAGCTACACCGACTGAACGATCAGTTTTGAAACTTTCAGAGATTGATGAGACTAACAATATGTATAACATGTTTATCTCGGACTTTTTATATCTGTGACCTAAGGTCAGGTCAATTTTGCGACCTCTCCATTACAAGTCAATGGGAGAAACTGAAATGCGCCTCTTTTGGACGCATGTTGTTCAATGCCCTCTCAAACATCGGTTCATAGGTAAACAAAACACACTGAATAGGAAAAATGCACATGTGAGTTGTGACTCTCATGTATGCTCCTGAGGTCATCCCAGGCCGTGAACGGTCACCAGCAGTTTTTTGGCTATAACTTTTGATAAAAATATGCTAGAGCGGTGAAACTACGTCAGATGTGTTCAGCTCGACGATACGGATTGACTGATATGCAGCATGACCCTTTCCGGTCAGGTCATGACCTTGACCTGAGGTCAAATTTTAAAATGACATTTCAATGTCAACGTATAGTTCTTTCGACGCGTCTCGACGGGAGGAACACGATGCTGGCAAAATAAATCTCGTCACTGTCTTGAGGCAAAAAGTATTGCTGAAAACGTTTTTCTTAAAAACAGATATTTTTGGAGTTTTGCCATCTGGAGCTAAACCGTGGACCCGAGGTCAATTCTGAGGGAATAATCAGAAAGGTCTGTAAAAAGGCTATCGAATGTGCTTTTCCGCGGCGCTGTAGCTCTATTGGTTCCCGATTTATCCGTTGGCAGTTTCCAAAATTGTTTAAATGGACTACATTTGACATTTGATGACCTCTGGCGACCTGACCTTTGACCTGACCTGAAAACTAAACAAAGTGTTTCCGTCATTATTTTGACGCTCTTTCGATTGCCGCTTACCGCGTGTCGCTACGTGGCCCAGGAGCCAAGTTAGAGTGGGTCGCGTGAAAACTGAAAACGCCCCCCCCCCAGCATGACACGGAAAACACAGGCCACCAGCACGGCGCGGTTTAACTAATAGGTAATGGAGAGGTCGCAAAATTGACCTGTCCCTCAATGTGGATATTTTGTCTGGAGATTACGCAAGGCGAATGCTCGGTGAGATCAGCAGGTATCTATGGCGCTTATTCAAAGTCAATCATGCACACTCACATCATCAAAGGTCGTCTTCTATACTACGTCGGCCGAGGACATCCTTTACCTTAGTGCCACTATATGGGACAGTCTCACGCCTCATCCATCTGGCACTCATGCAGTCACCCACGTCCACAAGTAGGGGCTGCGCGCACTATAGACATCTAATTTAAGGTATTTGTGGAGAAAAAAATCCAGAACATATGTAAGCGTTCGGTCGCCTCTGACTGCAGTCGCTGCTAGTACCTATGACAATCAGTTGGGATCTCATGGTGGATCTTATGGTCTGAAATGTTCAAGGCTTTCCTGGATTCCAATTTCGGCAATAAGTCGCAGCGTGAATCCTTCATACTACGTGCGGTCTTAGATTCTAAGCACGGCCACTCCGGTCGACCACAGGCTGCAGCCCACAGGTCACTTTGGATCAGTGAGTGAACCTGTATAATTTTTTTGCAAAGAATAAAAAATGTGCTCATCGATCAATGTATGTTTTACCGTTTCGAATTCGCATGGATGCGTTTTTTGAGAATAAAATGTCCGTAGCCTGAGCTCGTTTCCTATATCGTGCTAAATATTCAGCAAGATCAAGGTTTTTTGATAAAACAGCACCGGGCTGCAAATTGCATTAATTGGATTTTATGACAAATCAGCGAAACCTAGTTTTTATACTCGTATTTTGCAGCACCTAGTAAATCATGCATGGCATGATCATGACATGACTGACTGACGAACATGACTGACGCCCCTGTCGCGAGCTGACAATGGCGCCCCTCTCAAGGGAAAAAGTCGCCCCCTCGAGCACCATGCCCCCCCCTTTCGCTGATTTCTGGATACGCCACTGGATGAAGCCGATTTCTCTCCTCAGCGAGGAAATGACGATTTTGGAAAGATAAGCACTGATCTTCGAAAAGAAGTGCTGCCACCTGGAGCAAGAAGAGGAAGCTAGCTTTAATATGCCCGTTGTTTGTATGGTAGTTTGTTTTGTGGCCAGTGCCCTGTTTCACCGGTGATATCAGCACGCTGCTATCAAATTGCGCGAGCTGACGTATTTATTTATTTATTTATTTATTAAACTTCACGAGGCAAATCCATGAAACATGGCTATTCCTAGCCTCAGGTCAATTACATGCAATGGTTGGCCAATGGATGTCACACATACCTACATGAACCTCATACGCGGACACATGCATCACTAGTCACAATTTGTTCACAGTCATCACAGTCGCTATTTGTTCTGTTCCAAAGTGAGCCACTTGAACACCTCTCTTTTAAAAGCAGTGGGTTGCATATCACGCATTGAAGATGGTAGTTTGTTGAATGCAGTCACAATAGAGTGTAAAAACCTTCGCCTACCCGACTCAGATAAAATGCGCGGTGTCACAAGTTGATCAGAATGCCGAGTAATGCGCCGATGAATGTCGCGTCTGGTGGTAGGACTATGAGAGAGCGACTCGGTTTCCGACGTACGTCGAATCTAGTTAAGAAGGGTCAGTCCGTGGTAAAGGTACATGTTCTCAGCTGAGAGCCACTCATATTGCCGTAACACATCATTGATGTGGTCATACTTCCTCCGTCCAGAGGTGACACGCGCGGCGAAGTTTAATATCTTTTGAATGCGGCCTAACTGCGTTTTGTTGGTGGACCCATAGACAATGATACAATAGCGCACAATCGACAAGACTAGACCTTCCACCAGCCGGGCCAGGGTCGACTGCGGCAGACAGTGCCGGGAGTGGCTGAGACCACACAGGATGCCGGTGCACCGGCGCACCACGTCATCGATATGGGCAGAAAACGTCAGGTTCTGGTCAAACAGTACACCCAGGTTCCGCACAGTGGGGGAACCGGCGACAATGGCACCCATGAAGTTGATACGGACGGGTGGAAGCCGCTGAATGTTATGCCTAGAGCCGATGACTATGAGCTGCGTTTTGTCTGCGTTCACTTTCAAACCATTTTTGCCAAACCAGTGAGACAGCTTGGAGAGAACACTCTCCATGGTGAGCACTAGGGAGCCAATGTCGCCGGGTCCCCCCGCAACAAGAACCTGAGTGTCATCAGCGTATTGCACTATTTCAGCATCGCCGTCGACGTAAAGAGACATGTCGTTTGCGTAAATTGAATATAAAAGCGGACCTAAGGCCGATCCCTGGTACGTGCCTGGTACGTGGTACGTGCCAAACGTAATGTGATGACGTCACACTAATGACGTTTCGTGTAATCCGTGAGCTTTTTCATAGCTGCGTTTGGAACAGAGTTGCTGTCTCGTTGATTGCGTTTGATATATTTTGATGTTAGCAGCAATATTTGATGACATCACACCAGGGTTGTGCTCGACTCAAAAAAATTTGCCGACTCGACTCATCATTCAACTTTAGAATGCCCTGACTCAACTCTGACTCAAACAAGGAGCTGATTTTTTCCCTTGACTCGACTCATGACTCAAGCGGCTCAATGAAAATATGAGTTGACTCAAACCTGACTCAAATTTTTTGTTGAGTCAAGTGTCTTGACTCAATATTGACTCAGATAAAAAAGTTGTTGAGCGGGGGGGGGGGGGTGAAAAAAATCCGGCAGCAGGGCCAGGCCTAAGTTGTTAAGCGGGGGGAGAATGAAAACCTTATACTATATATTGTTTCTAGAAAGTTGAGTCAGCTGACTCATGTTCCTGCATGTTTTTGACTCAACTCAATGTCAAAAGTTATTTTACTGACTCAACTCTGACTCAACTCAACACCTTAATATTTTTGTCTGACTCAACTCTGACTCAACTCAACAACTCAACATTTTATCCGACTCGACTCAAATCTGACTCATTTGAGTCAGAGTTGAGTTAAATTTCTGACTCGACTCATGAGTCAAGCACAACCCTGCTTGGAAGCACTGTTTACGTGTCTGTTGGCATGGGTTGGGTGCATCACATCACACAGGTGTCCCCTGGTTCCAGCGAGGCCGCTGCGCTCCTCACTCGGCCATGGCGTCGGAAGCGCACGGCCGATGTGGCGAGCGCCTGCTGCGCCGCTTCTCGATGATGCTGGAGGAGCACAGCGGCCGGCTGGGGGAGTTGACCGGCTCGGCGGCCGCCGCCACCGGGCGGCCGCTGCTGCTGAGCGCCGGGCCACGCGAGAGCAGCGTGCTGCCGCGACTGGCGGCTACCGAGAACCGTCTGCTGACCAAGGTGCTGCTGGCGCTGACGGCCGTCTGCTCGGAGGCCGGCCTGCTGGAACGCGAGGCGCGCCGCGAGCTGGAGCCGGCGCTGCTCTTGTACGGCGAGCCGGGGCCCGCGGACGGCGTGCCGGAGATACAGGCGGCGCGGCTGCTGCCCACACTGCTGCGGCTGCTGGCGCTGCGCGGCCGCTGTCGCCAGGTGGTTGGCAACCTGCTGCAGCAGCTGGCGGCGCTGCACGAGCCGGCGCGACGCCGCCTCACCACCGTCGGCTTCCACGTCCAGGTGGCCTTCGAGCAGCTGGGCCACCTGCTGGCGGCACTGGCGCGGCTCGACCAGATCATGGCTCGCCACGCCCTAATCCACGAGCACTGCGCTCTTTACGGGCAGCTGGTGCGCCGCGCCCGTAGTCGGCCACAGCTGTACGGCCTGGATGTGCCGCGGGTGGCGCTGTTGGAGCGCTTACTGCGCGACCTGGAGGCGCGCGTGCTGTCGGCCACCCTGCTGGAGACGGCACTGGACCAGCCGCCAGCTGTGCTTGCCGACCGCGAGCTCCGTGACGAGTTTCTGCTGACGGTCAGTAACCTGCTGCTGGCTCTGGAGCAGGACGACCCGGACTCGGAGGTGCCAGACCTGGTGGGCATGGCCGCGCTGGTGGCACTGCACGCGCGGCTGGCACGCTCGGCCGATGCCAAAACGGTGAAGCGGTTGTGGGCGGCCGGCCGGCGGCTTCCGCCTGTGCTGCTAGGTGGTGGGCTCGTATGGAGCTTGGACACCTTTCTGGCGAATCACCTGCCCGGCTTTGACCAGATAGTGGATAGGCGCACGAGGGATGCGGCGGCAAGTGCGGCGGTGGCCGCTTTGACTTCGGCGGTAGCCGGTCTTCCGCGCGCTGTCTGCCAACAAACTGTGCAAGTGGTCGCCTGGAGTGCGCAGCTGATGGCGCGCCGTAGCGACGACCCGGCGCAGACGACGGCCGCCAGCGTGGCCGACGGGCTGGCACTGCTGCGGCGCGGACTGGCGCTGGCGCTGCAGGTGCGCGACGCGGCCCGTCAGCTGCTGGAGTTGCACGCGCACACGGGCCGGCCGCTGCCGGCGGCCACTGCCGTGCTCGTCTGTCGCCAGCTGGAGCTGCTGAAGGCGCTGCTCTCGGCTGCCGAGCAGGCAGAGCCGTGGGTGCGTCAGACGGCCTGGTGTGCTGCGCGTCACGCCCAATTCCGTGCCGTGCGCGCGGTCGCAGCCGTGCGCGCCCGTGTGGCTACCGACAAAAAGCTGTTGGCCGAGCGGTTAGACCTAGTCTCCGGTCTGGAGACGGCTGCGCGCGCCATCGGCGGCCCGGCCACGCGTCAGCGGCACCTGCTGGCGCGCCTGTCGTTGTCGCTCTGTACGCAGCCCGGCGTGTTTCGGGACGGCGAGCTGGGCCAACTGGCCGAGCTGCTGCGGGGCGTCCAGCTGGCCAGCCGGCTGTGGCAGCGGCTGTGCGCCGCCGCACACTGCGACTTCGTGTACTGGTCGCGGTCGCTAGTGCCGGCTTACCTGCGGGACGCGGTGGCGCGGCCGGACGACTGGTGCCGGCTGCAGCTGATGTGCGCCGCGCTCGTTGACGCCGCTAGCCTGCTGCGCCGCGGCCGACACTTGGCACCCGACCGCCTGGTGCGCGCTTACGAGCACGAGCTAGGGGCAGCGCTGCGGGCCGCGCTGCTGGAGCCACTGTGCGCCCAGGTGGAAACGGAGTTGCGCTTGGACGTGCACTCGCACCTGCAGCTGGCCGACCGGAACCCGTTCAAGGTGGGCCTGCGCGACCGGCGCCTGCTGCTGCGGGCGGCGCCGCTGCCGCTGGTCGCCGGCCGCCTCAGCGTGCGTCGTTACTGCGAGCGCTACCTGGAGCGCACCTTCTACCACCTGACGGCCGTGGCGCAGCACGACTGGCGCACCTACGCCGAGATGAGACGCCTAGCGCGACACAGGTACGGCCTGGAGACAACGGAGCCGCACCTGCCCGGCCAGACGCTCGAGCAGGGCCTCGACGTGCTGGAGGTGATGCGCAACATTCATGTCTTCGTGGCGCACTACGCGTACAACCTCACCAACCAGTTCTTCGTGGAGCGGTGCAGCAACAACAAGCATCTGAACACGCTCGGTATATCGCACCTGGCCAACTCGATCCGAACTCACGGCACAGGCGTCATCAACACCACTGTCAACTTTACGTACCAGTTTCTGCGCAACAAGCTGAGCGTCTTGTCACAGTTCCTGTTTGACGAGCAGATCAGCTCGCGACTGGCGTCCGACGCGCCGCTCGGCGCCGGGCCCTATGAATACCAGCGCGCCGAGCGATTTGAGCGAGCCATCCGTGGTCTAGGCGTGAGTGGAGACGGCCTCAGCTACCTGGGCCGGTGTCGCCAGCTGGTGACGCAGATCGGCGGCGCGCTGGGCTTCGTGCGTCTGGTGCGCTCGGGCGGCCTGCACTGCGCCAGTGGCGCGCTGCAGTTTGTCCCGGACCTGGCGCGGCCGGGCGAGTTGGGCGCCGCCGCCGAGCGGGCGCGGCTCGGACCCACCGGCCGCGCCGCCGCCCACACGCTGGACACCTGTCTCGCCGACTTGACGGGCAATGGCGTGCAGAACATGGATTTTTTCCATTTGCTGGAAGAGGCGCTGGCGCCGGCCCTGCGCCACCAGCGAAATGTGCACCTGCGCGCCTTCCACCTGCTCGTGCCGCCGCTTTGTATCAACCACGTGCAACACGTGCTGGAGGCCAAAGAGCGGCTGGTTAAGGGCACGCGCGCCGGAGCGCTCTTCACTGAGGACGGGTTCGCCATGGGCGTGGCGTTTCTGCTGAAGCTGCTGGCTTTGGACGGTGCGTTTGACGCGCTGTACTGGTGGCGGACGGTGCGCGCGCGCTGCCAGGCCCAGCTGGCGGCCGCCGTGCGCCAGGCAGACGGCGCCGACGCGCAGCTGCAGCACGCCGTGGGCCTGACCCTGACACGCCTGCGCCGCTCCCAGACCGAGTACGACCTGCTCTTCTACAACATGGCCGCGGCGCGCGTCTTCTTCCGAGAGGCTGCCGCCGTCTGAGAGCGGCCGGCCGCCGTCTGAGAGCGGCCGGCCGCTGCGCCGGTACGGTGGTCCTCATGGCAACAGTCGGCAATAGGCTGCCTAGGTGCGCTGTATTGAAGGTTCGAATGGACCCGGGGGGTGCGGAGGGGGCTTGTGTGTAATCCTACGCAGTGCGTGCGAATCACATTTAGCATGCTGGTGGCCTTCGCATGAATTGTAATCACACAAGTTGAAATATCAATTAACTGGTGATATTGTTTAACGCCTATTGATGAACTTGCTATTAATGACGCGGTTGTTGCTATAATATATGCACTATGCAGGTTGTCCCAAAAGTTCGTTCTCACTTTATGTTTGCACATAAAACAGAGGAGCTTACGTGTTCATCTATTTATAACCCTTTAATATGCTTCCTTTTCATTAGCATGGAAACACAATGAGAGCATGCCAACCGCCATGTTTCGCAGCCAGGGGCGTCGCCACGGATTCTCGACAGGAGGTGGGGACGGATCGTCCGACTAAAAACCCCAAATTAGGCATTGTTTCCGTACTTTTCAGGCCGATGCGTTATCCGTCTAATGGTAATTGGTAATGGACCGAATTCCTACACAGAACACGTTTGAAGTCAGATTCATTTTAACCCGCGCCCTGAGGTGGGATGGGGGGGGGGGGGGCGAAACGGCCCCCGTGAACTCTTCCGCGGATATCTCCTAAACGGCTGCAGATATCGCCACCAAACTTTCATGACCCCCCCCCCCCCCCGGGCATTATTAGCCCCGTTTCCATGACACAACTCTGAGCGGATTTGAGCTTAAATCGATTTAGATGTGCCATGGAAACGCCCATTTTTGCCAAAACCGCTTATAATTTAAAACCGATTGAAAGTCGGCTTAGATCGTCTAAATCGATTTACTTGAGATATGGAAGCATTTGGTTGCAAGATACTAGTGACTACGTGCTGTACCTCTTTGTCGGCCATCATGGAATGCATCGTGCTGAAATATTTCATAATTAAATTCGCTTGCGTTTCATAACCGCCGACCGCGATGATAGTTGTCAAAAAGAGTTAGGCGTGCAAAATGACATGTATTTGTCAAATGTGTTTTTCTTTTGTGACGACCAGACGGACCAAACTGGGTCACAGTCAACCTGTACAGTCACTGTATCTTCCACAAATTGCCAGGTTGTATCGTACAGGCACATAGCCACTATCGTTCCAAGACATATGGGCTCCCTCACCTGCCGTTCACTAGGCGCCATATGGTAATTGGAGTAACCGGCACAACTTGCGAAAGGAAGTCTTCTTAGACGGATCTTAGTCAACCAGGCACCAGCACGCCTCCGACCTGCAAACTTCGATTTCAGATTGAATGTTCGGCCTTGGCTTCATCCATTATCTTCGCTGTAAAAAGTTAAGCTCCCTTTGCGCTAAACCGGTGCTACTAGGGTGCTACTCAGATGCTAAGAATTTTTGATGCTTAGGTAAAATAAGCAGCATTTTCTAAAGCAGATGCCAAAATGTAGCATCACATGCCTTAACTAAGCATGTTTCGATAAATGGTTCTGCGACAACTGAGCGAACGTCATTTCAGCGAACGACATTTGAGCGAAACATTTTCAGCGATTATCAATTTAAGCGATTGGCTTTTTCAGCGATTGTCAAGTCGGCGAATTCAATCACAGCGATTATCAACTTTAGCGAGGACCAGAATCAGCGAAACCAGATTGAGCGAACATATGGTGGTCAGTGGGAGACCAATTGAGCGATGCAGTTACAGCGAACGACCGAACGCGACGAAAGTCAATCATTTGCTACTTTTCGGAAATTATTGCACTTCTTCACGTAATTTGAATTTTGAAGAAACATATGTACATCGGACGACCAACAAGGGGTGCATGGGAGGGCAGTGTGTCCAAAATTGTAATGATGCGGGGAAATCCGCCCATAATGAAAATAATGACATCCTAAAAATACAAATAAAAACATCCACACAGCAGTCACGACTCATAATAACAACCTCGAACCCAAACATCTAGGAGCAAGAGAAACACAAACCTCGCAAACTCATACAACACGCCAAGACAACCATTCGAATACCCCAAATGCTCAAATATATGACCCAACCTAAACCTCATTTAACATATCCCGAATACGAGAATGCCTTCAAAGTTTTATCAGTATTTAATATTTCTACATCATTTTCTCGTGGCATAAAAAGGGTCGAAGTCAAGTTTTATTAGAATAACGACATCCTTTCAGCTCTTTTTTTCTACATCCTCCCCTAACGTAAAATGAATTTAGCCACACTGTGGGAGGGGAAGGAGGCGGGCAAAATTTGAATTGAAAATGTGGAACGTGAGAGATAGGGCGACGGAGGGAATGCCAAGGACCAATAACAAACTAGAGAGATGGCACAGGGGAATCCAGTCTATGTTTCAGGGACCTCACCTAAATATCTGGAAATTCGTACGGTGCTTGGGGCAAGAACAAATTTTACAACATGGGGAACTGATCCAACTTCAAGCGGGGCAATTTCGCGAAAAAAAGCACAAGCAATATTGATCTCTGAACAAACGTTTGGTCACCATTATTGACAAAGAGCAGGGTGGGTTAGGGGGGGGGGGGTGAAATTGAACCGTTGGAATTTTTGACAAATGTAGCATTAAAATTGGAGCTCAATGCCTGACCTTTGAACGCGCGACATCCGCCATCCAGTACAGGATAACCATGAGATATTCCGGAAACATTCGTACGCATACGCTCGCAAAAGAAAAAATCCACCGTTACAGGACGATGAAATGTTTCGCTGAACTGACAGTCGCTCAAATTGTAGTCGACGAAATATAGGTATGTCGCTGAAACATAGCTTTCGCTAAAATTGATAATCGCTATATTTGATAATCGATGAACTTGATAATCGCTGAATTGCCATTCGCTGAAAATGGTTCGCTCAAATGACGTTCGCTCAAATGACACTCGCTAAAGTCGCTCGCACCGTCGATAAATGGATGCTTGGGTTAAGCTCTCGTTATAGAATGGCGTGATTAATTTTAGCACCTTATAATAATGAAGGTGCTGCATACTAGCAACCCATTTCATGATCTTGGAAATATAAATATGTGGTGGTAAATATCTGCTAATTAGGCTACTTAGGTGCCAACGTTGCGCTACACTGAAATACTGTAGAAATTAGCACTTTTTATGCTTAACAACTGTTATTAAGGTGCTTACGATTAGCACCTATTCCGATGGAACCCTGGACCTTTTTGTATTTGCACCTGAACGGAATGATGGAACCCTGAACGTATTTGCACCTTTTTTGGCGTTTTCCAAGAGGGGCAGAAGTAATATTGATAAGATGCATCTTCAAAACCTCTGCAACCTTCATCACGTGACTATTGGCAACGCTTTTGCTCCGAAACTGACAAATGAAACCAATTCAATTCATTATATAAGTCACAAAAGCAGCGGCGAGACTCTGGGTGTTCCGTGCTTCTATCCGTTCTATATGTTCCGTGTTCTAGGATACTGAAATCCTTCTCCTCCACGCCGCAACCCTCTCCGGGCTGGACAGGCAACTTTATCTCATGCGGGCTGCTCCCTTGGAGCGGCACCCGAGGGAGCGCACCTCGTAGCCGGGTGCAGTGAGTACCTTGGGGCTGGTCGGCCTGTCTTTCGGGGCGGGCTCAGCTCAGCCCCGGTGACTCACTAGGTGCCTGCCCAGACCAATGTCTCCCCCTAATTCCTATAATCCTTCCGGCTCTGAAATGGTCTCGTCAGACGGAAAGGGCCTAACCCAACAAAACACACAAACGGCGAGACATCTTTGATTTCTCACTCGGTTTGCGTAACTGCTGGTGCCTGGTGGGACAGCCTATATGGGACTCCTGTCAAAGTTCCGAACTGACATCGTATCGTCAATATGGACATCTACATTTGTAGGAGTTCAACTCCCTTCATGGTGACCGCCTGTGATCGGTAATGATAAGATATATATATTGGATAATACCTACAACTGATGATCAAAAGCAACCTGCATCTCATTGCTCAACCGTGGCTCTTCATATCCATAGATGCTAATGTTATGCTTGCAGTAGTATATTGGGGTATAACAAGAAGCTATTTGCGTGCTAGCCGAAGGTGCTAAACAAGTAACACCTCCTGAGGGCTGGTTTTTGACCCTAGCACCCGCAATGTGCGTAAAAAATACACCTTTCGGGTCTTAGATATGAGGTACTAATTAAAAAGCATCTTGTTAGCACCATACAGGAGCCATGGTGCTACGATTTTTATGGTGCTTAAAATAAACAACTCGAATAGCACCCTTTAGCCTGTTTAAAATAAGCCGGTGGGTGGTGCTTGTTTTTTACCATGGTGCTAAAGTACATTTAGCTGCTTGGCGGTGCTTAACTTTTTTACAGTGTTGGCGGCTGTTGTGAGTGTGCTTACCTTGCTTTCATTATCGTAACTTATCAGTTTTTAGCATAGCTTTTCGTAAACTCCATCTTCTTTTCACTTTTTGATGCATTTTCATCCTTCTTTTATCGCTTTTATCGCCGCCAAGTTCTTTGCGTAGTGTTGCTGACCTGATGTAATTTTTGTTAATAGTAAAACCAGAAACACGGCCATTACTAATCAAAGAAGGTTCTTCCTTATAATCTATAGCTTGAAATGGCATAGAGAATAGGTAGGGGAGGTTGGGGTAATTTGGCCGGTGGTGTAAATTGGCCGCCCCCACCTATACGACATCTGATAAAAGTGAATGGAATAACTTGAGTCTCTATTCATTTGTCATGAGAAGAACTAACTCGAGGACGAATGTCAAAACTTCCCTCCTCATAGTTTTATTCAAAATAAATAAAACGTGAATTTCATTAGAAAATGGTAACTTTTACTTCCCTTTAAAAGTTGTATAACATGTAGTATTTGGGCTGTAAACGAATTCTGACATCATAGCGTCATTTTTAGGGGTGTCCAGCGGTTCCAAGAGCAATTTCATCTAGTTCCGTACAGCCATGACGACTTTATAGACAAACATTTTCAGAATGGCAATGTGGGGTTATTTGGCTGGGACTGGCGGGGCAACTTGGCCGGTGCGCTCAGGGTCACTATGCTGGGACGGCCGAGTTGTTATGGTCAATTATCCCACAAATGCATAATTCATGACCAACTTTGACTACCTTGATGCCTAATTTCCTATTGGACAGCTGTAAGTGCATGTGACGTCATCAAAAATTACCACACGTTTTTTTTTGCTAATAAATCCGTACAGGAAAAAGACCCAGCCGCGCAAATCGTCTCATTTTGTTCTGCTCGTCAGGGCGGGTACGGTTA